GGAGAACTGAGTCTGACACAGAGCCTCCCCTTGGCCACTCACTTACTGGGTGACTGAGGCTTCTCCCTCCTACGAGTCTGAGGTTCCCTATCTATAAAATGTATTGAGGGGGAAAAGAGGGATCAATATCGACCTAATTGATCTCTAAAATCCCTTCTAACTTTGATGTTCAGAATGAGTCTTGTGATCTAGAACTTGGATAATGAAAACTAGGCCAGGAAGATTGGCTGAAGAAACTGGGGATGTTTACCCTGGGGAAGAGAAGGCTCAAGGGAAACATGGGAGTCATGTCAAGTATTTGAAGGGTTCTCCTGGGAAAGAGGGATTCGATTCATTGTGCTTGGCCCAGGAGGGTGGGATTTAGGGCAGTGGGTTGAAATATGGTTTATGGATCATAGATTTAGAGATGGAAGAGATTTTTGAAGTGGAATGAACTACCTCTGGAGGTCTTAGAATTTAAAGCCAAAGGGGACCTTAATGAATTTTATAGATGAGGAAAATGAGGTCTCTCCCAAGAGATTCGCCTAAGTTTACACAGGTAGAGCCAGGTTTCTAATTTATCCCCATCAGTCCCTAATCTGGTGATATTCTCACTATACTACACTGCCTTAAGTGGGTTCCCCATTACTAAAAGCCTTAAAGTAATAATAGCCTTTATTTATTGAGTACTTTAAGGCTCATAAAGCACTTTATAAATATTATCTCACTTGATCCTCACAACAACCTTCAAGGTAAATGCAAATATTATCCCTACTTTACAGATGAGGAAACTGAGGCAAACAGGGTTAAGTGACTTGCCCAGGGTCACACAGGAAGTGTCTGAGGTCAGATTTGAATTCATGAAGATGAGTCTTCCTGAATCTGAGCCCAGTACTCTATCCACCTTGCTGCCCCATTGATTCGCCCAGGGTCACACAGCCAGTAAGTGTCTAAAATCGGATTTGAGCTCAGGTCTTGCTGACTCCAGGCAGCTAGGTGTTCTGAGACGCAGAGCACCTGGGCCTGACGTCAGGAGGACTTGGGTGTGTCATGCTAGTGTCCCTATTTTCCACATCCTCTCCAACATTTGTCGTTTTTCTTTTCCGTCCTATTAGCCAATCTGACAGGTGTGAGGTGGTAGCTCAGAGTTGTTTTAATTTGCATTTCTCTAATCAATAGTGATTTAGAGCATTTTTTCATATGACTAGAGATAGCTTTGATTTCATCTGAAAACTGCCTATTCATATCCTTTGATCAACTTTTTGATCAATTGAGGAATAACTTGTATTCTTATAAATTAGAATCCATTCTCTATATATTGGAGAAATGAGGCTTTGTTCAGAGAAGCTTACTGTAAAATCCCCCTGCATCACCTCCCTCTGGCTTTTTGCTTTCCTTCTTATGTTGGTTTTGTTTGTGCAAATTTTTTTTTTAAAGGCAATTGGGGTTAAATGACTTGCCCAGGGTCACACAGCTAGTAAGAGTCAAGTTTATGGTCTGAGGTCGGATTCGAATTCAGGTCCTCTTGACTTCAGGGCCAGTGCTCTATCCACTGCACCACCTAGCTGCCCCTGAGCAAAATCTTTTTAATTTAATGTAATTTAGCTGCAATACCATTTGGTGCATATGTGCTTAGTATTGATATTACTTCATTGTCTATGGTACCTTTGAGCAAAATGTAGCTTCCCTGCTAATCTCTTTTAATTAGATCTATTATTGCCTTTGTTGTCTCTGAGATCATGATTGTTTCCCCTGCCTTTTTTTTTTTTTGGCAGTTGGGGTTAAGTGAAGGGCCCAGGGTCACACACCTAGTAAGTGTCAAGTGTTTGGTCTGAAGCTGGATTTGAACTCAGGTCCTCCTGACTTCAGGGCTGGTGCTCTATCCACTGCACCACCTAGCTGCCCCTGCTTTTTTTTTTTTTAACTTCAGCTGAAGCATGATATATTCTGCTCCAGCACCCTACCTTTACTCTGTGTGTCTCTGTGCTTCAAGTGTTTTTCTTGCAAATAACATATTGTAGTATTCTGGCTTTCAATCCATTCTGCTATCTGCTTCCATTTTATGGATGAGTTCATCCCATTCACTTTCACAGTTATGATTACTAACTGTGTATTTCTATCCATCCTACTTTCCTTCTCTCTCTCTTTCTCTCTCTCTGTGTCTTTCTTCACCGTCTCCCTCTTCAAAAGTGTTTTGCTTCTGATCACTGCCTCCCCCAATCCACCCTCCCTTCTATCAACTTCCCCTCCTCTTATCCTCTTCCCTTCCTACTTCACTGTAGGGTAAGTTATATTTCTATGCCCAACTGAGTGTGTATGTTATTCCCTCTTTGATCCAATTCCAATGAGAGTAAGGCTTAAGTACTGCCTATCACCCATCCCCAACCCCATGTGATAGCCCTTTTGTAACTCTTTTATGTGAGATAATTTACCCCATTCTACCTCTCGCTTCCCCCTTCTCCCAGTGCATCCTTATTTCTCACCCCTTAATTTAATTTAATTTTTTTGGATATCATTCCGTCATAGTCAACTCAAACCCATGCCCTGTCTATGTATCCTCCTTCTAACTATCCTAATAGTGATAAAGTTCTTAGGAATTACAAGTATCATCTTCCCATGTAGGAATGTAAACAGCTTAACCTTATTAAATCTCTTGTGATTTCTCTTTCCTGTTTATCTCTTTATGCTTCTCCTGAGTCTTGTTTTTGAAAGTTAAATTTTCTATTCAGCTCTGGTCTTTTTCATCAGGAATACTTGAAAGTCCTCTATTTCATTAAATGTCTATTTTTTTTTCTTGCTGAAGGATTATACTTAGTTTTGCTGGATAACAGGTTCTTGGTTGTAATCCTAGCTCCTTTGCCCTCCAGAATAGCATATTCCAAACCCTCTGATCCTTTAATTCAGAAGCTGCTAAATCTTCTGTTATTCTGACTGTTGCTCCATAATATTTGAATTGTTTATTTCTGGCTGCTTGAAACATTTTCTCCTTGACCTGGAAGCTCTGGAATTGGACTATAATATTCCTGGGAATTTTCATTTGGGGATCCCTTTCAAGGATGTGATTGATGGATTCTTTCAATTTTTATTTTACCTTCTGGTTCAGGGTAGTTTTCTTTCATAATTTCTTGAAATATGATGTCTAGGCTCTTTTTTTGATCATAGCTTTCAGGTAGTCTGATTCTCAAATTATCTCTCCTCAATCTATTTTATAGTTCAGTTATTTTTCCAATGAGATATTTCCCATTTTCTTCTTTTTTAAAATTATTTTGAAGAGGCAGCTAGGTGGTACACTGGATAAGAGCACTGGCCCTGAAGTCAAATCTGGTCTCAGATCAAACATTTGACACTTACTAGCTGTGTGACCCTGGGCAAGTCACTTAACCCCAACTGCCTTAAAAAAGAAAAAAGAAGAAAAAAATTATCTTGATTTTATTTTATTGTTTCTTGATGTCTCATGGAGCCATTAGCTTCTGCTTAGCCAATTCTAATTTTTAAGGAATTATTTTCTTTAGTGAGCTTTCATACTTCCTTTTCTATTTGGGCAATTCTATTTTTTAAGGAGTTTTTTTTTTACCTCTTTTTTGCACCTCTGTTTCCATTTGGCCAATTCTATTATTTAAGGAGTTCTTCTCTTCTAGTGGATTTTTGTGTCTCTTTTACCATTTGGTCTATTCTGTTTTTTAATGGGTTATTTTCTTCAGTATTTTTTTGTTCATGCTTTACCAAGTTGTAGACTCTTTTTTCATGATTTTCTTGTATTACTCTTTTTTTTTCATTTTTTCCTCTACCTCTTTAATTTTTAAAATTCTTTTTGAGCTCTCCAAGGAATTATTTTTTTGGACCTAAGACCAATTCACATTTTTCTTTGAGGCTTTGCCTCATTGACATTTGACATTGTCTTCTTCTGAGTTCTTGTTTTGGTCTTCCCTGTTACCACAGCAACCTTCTATTGTCACTTTCTTTTTTTGCTGTTTGCTCATTTTTCTAGCCTATTTCTTGACTTTTAGCTTTATGTTAAAGTTGGGTTCTGTTTTTGGGGTGAAGGGGGGGCACTGTTCCAACGTCAGGTTTTCCATGCTACTGTTTTCAGAGCTAGCTCCAGGGCTCCGTAAGTTTTTAGTTCTTCCAAGGTGGTATGATCTAGGCAGAGGTGTGTCACTCTTCTCCCGGCCTGTGCTCTGGTTTGTGAGTGACCAAAAGCGTTCTTTTCCACCCTGGAACTTTGACCAGGGTCCCCGCCCCTGCCGGTCCTCCTGACCCTGGGACTTTATCCTGGGACAGGTATGGGCAATGCAACAGAGCCCTCTTCTCAGTGCCCTTGTAATCTCCTTCTGACCAGTTGTCTGACCCCCTCACAGCCTGTCGGCTGAGAGCTCTGCTGATTCAGTCAGTCCCAAGGCCTGCTGCTGGCTTGCTGGGGTAGGGTCCGCACCGGACTGAGCTCCGCTCTCACCTTAGTGAGACAGACCTTCCCTGCCAATCTTCTAAGTCGTCTTGGGCTGGAAAGTTGTTTGACCCCGTCCTTTGGTTGGTCTCGCCACTTCAGAATTTGTTTCTGAGGCATCATTTTAGCATGGTTTGAAGGGGAACTTGGGAGAGCTCAGGTGAGCCCCTGACTTTACTCCCATTCCGCCTGTTCAGGTATGTTCGGACTACATTCCCTCTGAGGTCCTCTCCAACTGGGATTTTGTGTTGCGTAGGTGACAGCGATGATAATCAGTGCTTCACGTTGGTATGCGCTCTGTGTTACGCCGTGCGCACTTGCACCGTCCCACTTGACTGTCTCAGCATCTCCATGAGGCGCGCGTCCTTGTGCCTGACGTACAGAGGGATAGCAGCGACGTGGAGTTTAAGTGGCTCACCTGATCAGGCAGTAGTGGAGGGATGACTCGGAGCTCGGCGTATTTTCCATCATAATAGAATCCTCTCTGGGGTTGAATTTGGCTCGGATGTCAGAGAAAGGTCTGGAAAGGCCTGGAAGGGCTGGCAGAGTCACCATGAAACTGTACTTGCTCTTACAGCCGTGACCTGTGCAGTATCAGAGTGGAGCGGTTGGAGCCGGTGTGTTGAACCCTGCACTGTCTCTTTTCGAGTCCGGAGGAGACAAGTCCTAAGAGAGCCGAGGAATGGGGGTGCTCCCTGCCCCCCACTGGAGGAGAGGGCTGGTTGTGTGGAATACTGGAGCCATCAGGGAGTGGAGTGCAAACAAGCTCTGAGTGAGTGACGGGAATGGACTAAAGAGGCAAAGTGGAGAGTCAAGTCTTTTCTGAAACAGCAAGTTTATTTATTTACTTTTTGCTTTTTGGTGAGGCAATTGAGGTTAAGTGACTTGCCCAGGGTCACACAGCTAGTAAGTGTTAAGTGTCTGAGTCTGGATTTGAACTCAGGTCCTTCTGACTCCAGGCCGGAGCTCTATTTGCTGTGCCACCTAGCTGCCCCCCGAAACAGCAAGTTTCAAAAAGCCCCAAGTGCCAGAGGAGATAGCATGGCATAGTGGCTACCAACCTCCCTGGGCTTCCTTTAAATCCGAACTAAAATCCCGCCTTCTCCAGGAAGCCTTCCCTAGCCCCTCTTAATTTCAGGGCTTTCTCTCTTTTAATTATTTCCTATTTATCTTTCTATAGAGCTTGTTTTCTATATATTTGTTCGCTGGTTGTCTCCCTCATTAAATTGTAAGCGCCTTGAGGGCAGGGATTGTCCTATGCTTCTTTTTGTGTCTCTAGCCTTCAGCACAGAGCCTGGCATATAGTAGACACTTAATAAATGTCTATTTATTAATTGATTGCTAGTGAATAGAGTGATGGATTTGCAGTCAGGAGGACCTGGGTTCAAATCCTACCTTAGACATGAAATAGCTGCGTGACCCTGTTCAAGTCACTTACTCTTTCACCACGTTTTCTCGATTGAAAAATAGAGGTAGTGATAGCTCTTCTCTCACAGGATCATTAATAAGAATAGCTTGCATGTATGCAGCACTTTACCTATCTTATCTCTTGATCCTCACAACAGCCCAGTAAAGTAGGTGCTATTATCATCCCCACTTTAAACATGAGGAGACCAAGGTTGAGATAGGTTAGATGATTTGCCCAAGATCACATGGTGAGCAAGTGTCTGAATCAGGATTTGAATTCAGATCTTCTTGACTCTCAGTCTAGCTCTTGATACATTTCACCACCTACTTGCCTGCTACAATGAGGATCAAGTGAAATAATAGATGCAAAGTATTGTGCACATTTTAAAGCATTATTTTTAGCATTATTATTAACCCCGATGACACACAGGGTTTCAGACTTGGGAAGATCCCTAGAATATAGAATTATAGAACAAAAACAGACCTGATAACATAGAACATAGAATTGTAGTGCAGGAAGGGCCCTTAGTGGGAAATGACTTGTCCTGGGTCACACATCTAGTAAATAGTAGAGCTGAGACTCAAACCATGCCCTCTGACTCCAACTCCAGAGGTCTTTCTACTATAAGATGCATCCGGAGGGTGAGGGTTGGCTGGAGGGTCTCAGTTCCAATACCTTTTAGCCTCACCCAGCCCAATCAAATTTTGAAGCTCTCAAGAAAAAAAAGTCTTTATTCAGAGCCAAGAAGACGTGGTTCCAGTTCTAGCTCTGTCATACACCGGCTGTGTGACCCTGGGTAAGCATTTCATTTTTCAGGGCTCCAACTAACTCTTTAAGACCCTAAGTTACAAAGAAGATGCTGCCCTATGTTGTAGAAAGAATCTCGTCATCTGGGAATGCTCTGTACTAATGAAATCTTGTGCCTATCAGGGTTTACCTGTTTGGGCTAGAACTCTGTTTCATTCTGCCCTGTTTTGGAATTTGAATTCTAGTGCCTTGTCACTCCTGGGGCATTTTTCTCTTTTCCAGGCCTTATTTTCTTCATCTGTAAGAAGAAGACCATTAAAATAGAGCAGTGGTGTCAAATTCAAACAGCAACATAAACAACTGCACAAAAGGATCCTTCCAGCAGCATTTAGAAAACCACAGATGAACATTATCTATGTTCTGTTGCATTTTTATTCTTTGGTTAAATATTTCCCAATTACATTTTAATCCAGCTCACTCAAGAGTGTTGTTAGCTGCCTAGGGTGTGTGTTTGACACCTCTCACCTATATATTGTCCAAGGAACATTCTAGCTTCAAATGCTATGATCCTGTCCCCTTTTCAGTCCTGCTTCCCCCACTCCCAGCCTAATTCCAGGAATAGGAATGAAATTCTCATTCTGGGAGTTCCACATCTTGTTCTGACAGCTGGGAGTAAACTGGGATGCTGGATCATGAGGTAATAGCTAGCTAGGCAAGATACATATTGGATGATCTGCTCCCCTTCATGTAACCTGTATTCCAAACAAACTGGATGGCTTGCTGTTCTTTGATCAGTCTTGTCCTCTTCCATCTCTGTGCTGTACTGATACTCACCCTGGTGACTAGAATGGATTTTTCCTCCTTCCCCAAATCTTAAAGCTGAAAGCAAGGGTGAGAGGTAAATGTTTAACGACCCACTCTCTGAAAACAATGCTTTATTATAATATTGCTCAGGACACATTTTTTAGTTTAATCAGCATTACTAACATTTTCTCTGTCACTTCCTTAAGCTGAGACAATCAGCAAAACAATAAATCAAACCCTGATTTGTAGTATTTGCTGATTTCTAATGTGCAAATGCTCACACTGAAAATTTAATGATCAGCTCTCAGAAGCCTGTTTGAGCTTACTCTAACACACTTCTGGTTGGAAAGAGACTCAGAAGTCATTTAGTCCAACTCTTACCTGAACAGAAATTCTGTCCACAACATCCTGGGCAAATGGTCATCCAAGCTTCTCCCTGCTGTATCTCCATCTAGAGTCAAATATAGGTCTGTAACCCTAAAATGAGATCACTTTGAATGGAAGAAAAATTATATATAAATTGGAAAACGACACCAATTGTAGGCTGCATTTGGGTTTATACAAGGCAGATTGGGGACAAAAGTGTGTGGCCTAAATTTAGCCTCCTTTGGTCTTTTGACTCACTTTTGTTATTAAGTAGTAACAAGAAGCAGAAGAGATCGTAGATACATAGATACAGATATCTATTTTCATAGATACTCATGGTGTGCTGGGAGAAGCACAAAGTTCAGATATGATACAGTTGCTGCCCTTGTGGTATTCACAGTGTCGGGTGATAGAATGAGCAGTGGGTTTGTGTGATGCTTGGGCAAATCACTTAACTTCTGGGCCTTGGTTTACACGACTCTAAAATGAGAGGTTGGACCAGATGATCTTCTAAATTCCCTTCCAACTCTATCAATCTATGTTCTAAGGTCTAGGTCCAATTCTAACCCTTCTATAAAACGTGGGGTTATAGGACCAGATGGATTCTAAGGTCCCTCCTAGCACTAAATCTTTTTTTTTTCTTAATTTAATTTATTTTTCTTTGTTACGTTTAAAATTCCAAACTGTCTACCTCCATCCCTCCCCACCCCACACTATGCATACTTCTATTTATCAGTTCTTTCTCTGGAGGTGGATAGCATCTTCCTTCATAGGTCCTTTGTAGGTGATTTGAGTATTTGTAGTATTCTTAATAAGTTGGTTGTTCGCAGCTGTTCTTTGAACAATATTGCTGTTACTGTATACAACATTCTCATGGTTCTGCTCATTTCACTCTCCATCATTTCATGCAAGTCTTTCTATGTTTTCCTTAAGTTAGACAGCTCATCATTTCTTCCAGCACAGTAATATTCCATCACAATCATATACCACAACTTGTTTAGCCATTCTCCAATTGATGGACATCCCCTCAAGTTTCCATTTAGCATGAAATCTTTGTAATCCAATAAGCCAACCATAAAACCCAAATTCTACTACAAGAGAAATTGTGAGTAGGGCAGGAAAGCCCTGGAATTGTCTTTCTTATAGACACTCCTTCCTCTGATTGCCACCTTGGGTCTTTTATCCAGTGCAGCCCCTGTGATGTACTACAGCCATTTTGGGCTTTGGGAAGAATTCATCAGCCTCCTGTGAATTGGCTCCAAGTTCTTCTCTCTTCTCCCCTCTCCTCCACAACTGTCCTGATCAAAAATCTGCTTGTTGGTGGGAGGAATGGTGAGCTTAGGCTTTCACTGCAACTGAAGGGTTATTTTTTCTAATGGATTGAATGCCAAATTGGACCAGCCTTGGCCCTCCTGCAGATCACTCTCTTGTGTCTCCAGGAGCCCTGGCAGGGCAGTTACTCACTCAGATCCTGTTGTTCTCTCTCTCTGGCCCCCACAGTCCCAGCTCTCATAACCACTGGGGCCTTCCGGAATGGGAGGAAAAAGAGGGCCGTGGCCCATGAGAGAAAGTCAGCTGGGTAAGTAGATAAGAACTGGGACCTAGAAAATGTCTCCTGGGGCTAAACTTGGGGCATGTCACTTCCTTTCTGAGTTGTAGTTTCCCATTTGTGAAATGGGGAATGATAATCCCTGCCTTGTCTACTACATGGGGTTACTGCGAGGATCAAATGAGGTAATACATGGAAAGTACATTTAAAACCTAAAATCCCTGTGTAAATGAAAGTTACTTCAAAAGGTCCACCATTTTACTGGTCTAGGCACTTCCTCTACCAGCCTAGATCTAAACCCCTTTGCATCAGAGTAAATAGTCTACACAGGTTACTATGGACCAAAAAAATCACCGCCTGGTGGCCAATCTTCAGGTAGTAAGTCTTTCCATAATTAGCTAGGCTGGGCCTTAATGGACAGGCAAACATGGCAGGTCTATCACTGGGCTCATGCTCAAAGACTTTCCATCTCGGGGGGTCTTGCCAGAGCTCATACTGGACTGGCAAAATCTTCAAGAACCGTGGGTCATGAGCACCCCATGAAGACAAAACGTTGGAGGAGGTCTGAGATGGAGGGTAAATGTCAGTTAAAAGAACAACAAGAAAAACAAACATTCATCTTGTTATTGTTCTTTTTTTTTCGGCTAGGCAATGGGGTTAAGTGACCTGCCAGGGTCACACAGCTAGTAAGTGTTATGTGTCTGGGGCCAGAGTTGAACTCAGGTCCTCCTGAATCCAGGGCCAGTACTCTATCCACTGCACCACCTAGCTGCCCCAATGTTATTACTCTTCTTGAAAATCTTTCCAGGACTCCTTGTTTCCTACTGAGTCAAATCAAATCTCCTCCATAATGGAAAGTGCATTGGACTGGAGATGCAGGAAAACTAGGTTTGGATCTCAGCTCTGATATTTATCAGCTTTGTGACTATGGGCTGATCACTTCAGGTCTCTCGACCTCAGTTTCCTCATCTCTAAAATGGGGATAATGATAGCACCTATCTCATTGGGTCACCGTGAGGATCCTATGGGATAATATATGTAATTACTATTATTGTTGTTATTGTTATTACATTCCAAGGTCCCTTCCAGCTCTGACACTCATTCCCCAATGTTGAAGCAATTTAAAAATGTTTCTTTGTTGTTGTTGTTAAGCCCATGCTTTCTATAAGGGTCATAGAGTGAAAAGAGAACATCTGCGAGTGGAGTCAGGCCCTACTAATTGGTAATAATTCATACTCGCAGGATTTAGAGCTTACAAAGTTCTTCATCTGAAAAATGGGAATAAAAATACTTGCACTTCCTCCTTCAGAAGGTTGTTGTAAGGAAAGTGTCTTGTTGACCTTAAAGTGCTATGGACATACCATAATTATTTTTGTAATAATACGGTATCATTATACTGTATTAATAATAATAATAATACAGTAATCATTGTTGTTAGCCAGTTTTTAGGTGGTGTAATGGATAGAGTGTTTGGCCTACAGTCAAGAAGACTTGAGTTCAAATCCCTCCTCAGACATTTACTAGTTGTGTGACTCTGGGCAAATCACTTAGTCTCTGCCTCAGTTTCCTCATCTGTAAAATGGGGCTAATAACAGTACCTACCTCTCAGGTTTGTCAAGAGACTCAAGATAATAACTGCAAAGTGCTTAGCACAATGCCAGACACATAGTAAGCACTATGTAAATATTAGCTATTATTATGATTATTGTTCCTGATATCAGGAAAGCGCTAATTACGTTTTGTGAAAAAAAATATTCTGTGTTCACTAATCCATCCAAGAGCATTTATTTAGTGCCTATTATGTGCCAAACAAGCACTGTGCTGGGGACTAGGAATACAAAGAAAAAAGGAAACTAGCCCTTCTCTCAAGGAGCTTGCCTTCTATTGGGGGAAGCACTATATACTTAGGGAATTAAATACAAGTACAATGTCATTTCCCTGAGGAGAGTGCCAGCAGGTATGTGTCTCATGTTTTTGTTAAGCAAACACACTCATTCTTCAGATGTATAATGGGCATCACTTTTCTTGCCTTCTCAGTGAGTGGGGGAGGAGGTGAAAAGAAGGGGAGGATCTGGAACTGAAAATAAAAGTAAAAAAAAAAGTATGGTCATTGTAGAGCCTGTGTGACCTTTGTTATTATTTCTCACTGCTCCCCAACATGTGTGACCCTAGATCAGTTTACATTTCTAGAGGAAAAGCCCTTTTTTCTGCTGATTGACCCTCTGGACTAAATGTTGCATTTTACAGGTGAGAAAAGGAGGGGAAGTGACTTATCCCAAGACTCACCCAAAAGTAAATAGCAGTGCCATAATCAAACCCAGGTTCTCTGACTTCAAATCATAGCAATCCCTGACTGCTCTTGGTTTTACAGGAGGAAATTAAAGCCCAGAGAGGAGAAATTACTTGTCCAAGGCCACACAGTGAGTTAAGAGGCAAGATGAGAGCTAGAAGACGGTGGGAAATATGACTTCCAGCCCAGGCACTTTATATAATTCTGTGTTGCTTTTCCCGTGAAAAAAGCAATCACTTGCGCTCTAGGGAGGGGTTCTTTGCTGGCTTTGCGGAGGGTGTCTTTGAATTTCCGTTAGCTCAGTGCTCAAACCCATGGCCAACAGGCCACATGCTGTCCAAAATGCTCTTCAGTGCTCCTGAACCAGATTAAAATGTAAGTGGGAAAAATTTAACAAACCAAACAAGAAATACAGTAGAACACAGACAACATTACATTTTAAAACGAAGTTACTTTGCAGCCTGCAGGAATCCTTGTGTATGGTTTAGTGGCTTGTGTTTCTGTTTGAGTTTGACACCACAACTTTCTAGCACACACTGGGCCAGTCATGGGAACCTTGTCCCGGCCAGAACCCCAAAGCCAGTAACTTAGAAAACGGCCGAAAAACTACAGCTCCGTTGATTGTTTCTGAGATCCTCAGAGGCTACTGCCACGAGAGGGCGCCAGATGCACATAATCACAGGTGCCTTGGTAGGGAGGGCAGTTTCCCCCCTTTCCCCAGCAGGGGGCAATATTGTTGGTCTTCCCTTGCGCTCCCCCCCCCCCGCCCCCCCATATATCTTCACAAAGTTGAAGGCAAAAAGAATTTTTGTAAATTGAATTACATTTAGATGTCTTGGGACAGCTTCTTGGATAAAGGAATCCAGTGGAAATTTTTTTTTAACTGTAATGCATCCTTTTATAAATTGAATCATCACTCCTCTAATGGGAAATTTTTATATGGCAAAGTTAGTGAAATCAGGGCAAACCCCTGTCTTCCTGGGTCAATGACTCCACTTTTTAAGTGGTGTAGCGCAGAAAACAATGATTAGCGATCAACAACGTACCTACTTCTTTTTGTGTGAAAGTTCAAGTTTCTCAATGGCAATGAATGGTAGTGATTATCATATGAGTTATGGTTAGGTTCAGTTGCTATTGGTTAAGTAGTAGTAATAAACTTTTTTTTTTTGGAGAATGAAAGTCTCCCCATGAAGATCTATGTGGGTGCTGTGGGCTGGTAGTAGAGTCCATCTTACAAATAGTATAACTTAGTTAGAAAAGCATGGGATATGGAGTCAGAGGAGCTGGGTTCAAATCATAACTTTACTACTTTAATAATAGTTGGCACTTATAGATTACTTGGAAGGTTACGAAGTGCTTTGCATAAATCACCTCATTTGGTCTTCATGGCAACCCTGTGAGGAACATACAGTAGATACTGTGGTCACTGTTTTACAGATGAGTCACCTAAGGCTCAGAGCGATAAAGTGACTTACCCACAGTCACAAAGCCAGTAAATGGCAGAGCTGGAATTCAAACTTGATCTTTCCTGACCCTAGGTACATCCTCTTTAATTACACCATCCTCTCTTTTGTGTAACCTTTGGTTCTCTGGCTATCGATTTTTTATCTGTAAAAAGAGGTTAGACTGAATCATCCCTCCTCATCCCTTTGGGTTCTAAATCCTATGCTCTCAGCAATTATGAGGTGTTTTGCTGCCCAACTATCTATTGAATAAATAGGTAGAGCACAGGACGCTCTGGCTGAAAATGTCAACCCTAACATTAATAATTAAGCTTTATCTCTTTGAGACTTTTGAGTCTTAAGTCTGGAAATGTAAATGAGATTGGACTTAGGGGAAGAAACATCCTAAAACCACTATCAGTCAACATCCTTAGTTATGAAGGGCAAAGACCATTAGATTAAGACCTAGGTCTAGGAGATTAAGCTCCAGTTCCACTATTGCTATTATGCATAACTTTAGGCCAATCATTTCCCCTTTATTTGGGCCTCAGTTTACCCATATGTAAAATCAAGGGTTTGGGTTAGAAATCTCTTCCAGCTCTTAATATTCTCTACCCTATGCATGGAATAGGAGGCTATTAGATGACACAGTAGATAGAGTGCTGGATTTAGAGTCAGGAGGACTTGAGTTCAAATCCTGTCTCAGATACTTAATTAGATGTATGACTGTGTGAAGTGGGCAAATCACTTAAGTTCTTTCAGCCTCAGTTCCCTCTTTTGTAAAAATAGGGATGATAATATCACCTAACTTACACGGTTGTTGTGAGGGTCAGACAAGATAATATGTAAAGCATTTTTTGAACTTTGAAGTCCAATGCAAATGCTAGCTATTATTATTATTATGTCCTTAGATCCTTTCCATTTCTAATGTTGTAAGTTCCAGGGTACCTTCTTGCTCTGACATTCTGTGTTCCATGTTATCAGTCAACAAACAAGCCATTATTAAGCTCCAGTTACCTGTTCCAGGCACTTACTAGGCACTGGGGATATGAATACAAAAGTGAGAACATCCCTACCCTCAAAGGGAGGGGGTGGCATTCTATTGGGAGAAATGCAACCTGTTCACAGTTATAGGGTCCCTTTTGCTTCTCACATTATGTGTTCTGTTTTCTAAGGTCCCTTCCTTATTCTGGGTCCATGGTGAGCAGTTAACCCTAACAGTAGCAGGGATTGATAGGAAAAGGGACACAAGATTAGGTTGTTTGTAGGGGGCATTGATGTAGACAAGTGGGAGGAAGGGGCCTCAATGAGGAAGCAGGAGCATAACAAAGATTCTTTTTCCCTTTGGTTGGTGGGCCGGGGTGGGAATGGTCTCAGAATTTACTCTATTATTGCTAGTAAATATGGTTGTATGTATGTGTGTTTCTTTGTGTTGGCCACAGGTACTGTGTCATGTTCCAGCTTGTGACAATCACTGTGGGCTGCCTTCAGATAAGGGCCCCCTACACTCAGTGGATGAGGTACCTCACCCAAGGGCATGTGGTCTGTGTGTTGTGTGAGCCACCTGCCCTGGATATGAGAAGCCTTCGGTGCTATGGGGATGGTAAAGGATCCAGAGGGTGAGAGTCTGGACTTTGGCACGTGTGCGTGCGTGTGTGTGTGTGTGTGTGTGTGTGTGTGTGTGTGTGAGAGAGAGAGAGAGAGGAGAGAGAGAGAGAGAGAGCGGGCTGTCTGATAGTGGAACTCACTGACTTGTGAAATGACCTTTCCCTGACTATTCAACTGATGCTTGATGTCTGCCGCTCAGGGAGATTATTGGTGGTGGTGGTGGGGAGGATTCTTCTTTTAGGTGGGAGGTTGGAGTTTCACCTGTGTGGCCTTCCTGGGCCCTCAGTGTCTTCATCTGTACAATGAGGGGGTTGGACTACACGGCTTCTGAGGTTCTTTCCAGCTCTAGAACTAGGATCCTAAGATTCCTTCCAACTCTGAAAGTCCATGTTCTAACATTGGAACCATACTAAGTTTTAAGATTCTAGCTTCTAACCCCTTTTCTGACTGTGATAGTTTACATTCTAAGGGTATTTTCAGTGCTAACATTCTTGTTCTTTGTCCTATGGTTTCTTCCAGCTTGGACCTTCTTCTGTTTTGTTTTGTTTCTGCACATTCTCTGACATTCTAGTTCTAAAATTCTTTATTCTAAGGTTCTTTCCATCTTTGATGTTCTTTGCTTTTTCATTCTGTGATTCCGATATTCAGACTCTTTGTTGGTTTATTTCCAACTTCTCCAGCCTTGGGAGATGTAGATCCCAGTGAACTATGTCCAGACGGCCTTGTGGTGACCCCGCGGATGGCTGGACCAACACACAGGTGCTGCCCCCTCGAAGGTTTATGCCCTGTGCTTTGTTCATTGCAGGGACCAGCTGTTTCAGTGGCAGGCCCTTGGCAATCCCAGCTGTAGAGGGACCTGGAAGAGATTTCAGCAGCTGGAAGCCTGTTCCTGCCCTTCTGTCCACAGCTTCCTGTTTGTCTAGGGGGCGTGGACTTGAGCTGTCTACCTACAGAGGGCCTCTGAGCTTTGGGACACCGGTGGATGGTACCCTCTCCTAACCTGCCCCTCCCCAAGACTGAAAGAATCCTGTGTCTTACGTTCTTCTGGTCATGGGAAGGTCCTCCTCCCTTCTCCCCCTACCAGTCTTAAAAACACGGGAAATCTCCACCCCCACCCCTTTCTGTTTTCCCTTTTTTTTCCTTTCCCTTTTCTTTATACCAGTCTGGCCTGAAACACCCACTGTAGAGAATAAAGATGTTTTGGAGAAACTATAGCTCAGCAATTTTCTTTTTTTTGTCTAATAGAAGAAAACCAGACTTGGTAGTAGTGTTGGCCCTTAGCAAAGTCCTTCCTCCTAACTGGGGCATGCAGAGTGTGAGTGTGAATGAGTGAATGGGAGGGCCAAGATCTTTTAGCTGCCCTGGTGCCTCCAGCCTGCATGCCTGACACATATCAGGGCCAAGCTGACACTTACTTTTGGGTAGAAGGTCAGGATCCTACAAAGACTTGCTAGCAGGATGGATCACAGTGACCAATGCTGATGAGAGATGGTTACTATGTCTAGAGAGCAAGGAAAGGACATAGTCCTTAGAGATTGGCTTCGTTGGGGTCCCCAATACACCACCAAAAGAATGCTTATTTTTGGTTTAGTGGCCTCCATTTCTATTTGAATTTGAGAGATGAACTTTAAGAGATGAACATGGAAGAGAAGAGGCCAATCCAGGCACAGGAGGATGGCCTGAAACCAGAAGAGGGAAGGACAGGGTTGGGGAGTAGAAAGTAGTTCAGTTTGGCTGGAATTGAGAGAATAGGAAAGGAAGTAGTATGAGACAAGACTAGAGAGCTAATCAGAGTCAGATGAGGGAGGGTCTTGAATGTCCAAGATCAAAGTCCTACTTAATTCTGTAGGTGATGACAACCACTGATGGTTTTTGTATAGAGTGGCATGATTGATCATGGACGTGCATTAGAACACTCACCTGGGAAAGGATGTAAAGGATGGCGAAGATCAGAAGCTGAAGTCAGGGAGACTAATTATAAAGCTATTCTAGTCATTTAGGCAAGAGTTGATGAGGTCTTAAAAAGGGTGACTGAAGTGGGTTGAGAGGAGCAATCTCCTTGAATCTTGGAGCCCTAGGAATGACTTTGTCCCATAAGATTCATCCTCTGCCATTCTCTATCCTAGGCTCCACCTTCCTGTCCCACCTCTCTGAGAGCTCAGCCCTATTGTTTCCTCCTTACCCAATCTTCCCCTCCACCCCCACCTACCTGCCTTTCCTCTCTGCCCCACAGCAGCAAGGCCTAGGGGATCTTTGGGTCACAAGCACTTCATTAAGTATGTATTGAACTTCTACTGTATACAGGACCTCATTGTGGATATAACAGTGAATAAGACATAGTCCCTGCCTTTAAAGAGTTTATAGTCCAGCAGAGGAAATTGTTTATAGAAAGATTTTTTAAAAGATTTCAGTGTAAAGTGGACATTTTATAGTGACTAGCCCCAAATTGAAAACCATGTATTAGCATATCTTTGTTCTATTTTTTATTTATCTATCTATCCATTCATTCATTCATTTATGTAAATGTTTCCTGATTACATTGGTTGGGACTCTACTGTGGGGCACATAGAGGCTCATGTCAGACACCTCTGTCTTAAAGATCCTTCAGGTGCTTTCCCTGATCCCCTGGTAGAAGCAATCTCTTCTTTCCTTGAATATTACCCATAGTTTTGCCTTTGCATTTCCTGTGCATTTATTCTTATCTTCATTGTGTCATAATTGGATGTGTAATTGTCCTTTCTGCTATTAGATTATAAACTCCTTGAGGGCAGGGCCATGTTCATCTTTGTATCCCCAGTACTGAGCATAGGGCCTCTATCATAGTAGGTAATTAATAAATATTTTCATTGGATTGGATTGCCCTGGGTTTCCAGAACTAAGGGGGATTCAAAGAGAGGCCAGTAGTTTAAGGTAAAAGGAGATAGCCATATTGAATCATACCTGGCCACGTGCTGAAGCCTGGACAAGGCTAATTCCTGAGACTGGCAGGCAGAGAAGATATCTGGATGATGTGGGGAAGGCAGCTTTCCCCTGGGTTTCCCAGGTGGTTTGGGGAGAACGCACATCTTGTCCATGTCCAGTATCAACACTGTAGGTCTGCTGGAGGAGAGAGTGTGGGCAGGTATTTTCAGAGCAACAGCCCTAAGGGGTGTGTCATTGTGGAATCAGGCAGAACATGTTGCTTGTTAATTACTGGCTCTTAATTACTGGCTGGGGATTATAGTCCTCAGGTAGTCATGGTCTGTCATGCCCTGAGGAGGTGGCAACAGCAGCAGCTGCTTAAATAGCATCACTCTCTGCCCCAGAATTCATCTTAGCTTTAGACCCTTTTGTCCTGGTCTAGTGTGGATCCATGAAAGGACAGTTACTAGAGTCCCTTGCGTTCTAAGTTCTCTCTCAGCTCTGACATTCTATGATTTATATTTTAATGTATCTTCCAGACCCATCAGTCCAAGTTCTAAGACTTCTTTCTGTTCTGACCTCCTATATTCTAGTTCTAAGGTTCCTTCTAGGTCTGACATCTCATCTTCTAAGTTCCCTTCCAGCTCTGACATCCCATCTTCTAAGGTCTTTCCTAGCTCTGACATCCCATTTTCAAAGGTGTCTCCTAGCTCTGACATCCCATCTTCTAAGGGTCTCCTAGCTCTAACATCCCATCTTCTAAGGTGTCTCCTAGCTCTGACATCCATCTTTCTAAGGTGTCTCCTAGCTCTGACATCCCATCTTCTAAGGTCTCTCCTAGCTCTGACATCTCCTCTTTCTACGGTGTCTCCTAGCTCTGACATCCCATCTTCTGAGATGTCTCCTAGCTCTGACATACCATCTTCTAAGGTCCCTTCCAGCTCTGACATCCCATCTTCTATGGTCTCTCCTAGCTCTGACACCCCATCTTCTAAGGTCTCTCCCAGCTCTGACATCTCATCTTTCTAAGGTGTCTCCTAGCTCTGACATCTCATCTTCTGAGGTGACTTCCGGCTCTGACAGTCTCTGATTCGACCCACAAATGCATATTGGTTCAGTCTAGCCAGTGGTCCCATTCAGGTTTGTAGGATCAGAACCCCTTGTGATGGAGCTGCTACTTTTGCAAATTTCTGAGCTAGTCGTTAGACAGCAGACCATCCCTCCCTGCCTCACGTACAGTACAGCATGTGATGAGAGATCAGGACCTGATGGTTTCCTTGTACATTACAAGCATGCACAGTCTATAATTGGCTCCAAGTGAAATGATCTCATCTCTGAGTACCAAAGAGGGAGTGGCAGGACTGGGGGGATGGTGGCTTGGAGCTTGTCTTGCTGCATCTAACATAATTTGTGACTAACATATCTTTGTGAGGCAGAGAGAAAGAAAGATACTCTGCTCCCTGGAAGATGGCTTGAGAGTTCCAAGAATGGCCTATTAATAAGTAACGAGGCTCCAGTGTGTTGGGTTGGGGAAGGAGGCATTCTGGCAGGGTGCAAGGCCCCTTTTGATACCTCAGAGACATGGAATGTGGTCCTACCGCATCTTAAAACTTGCAAACTCTAACCCCAAATGATTAATTCTCCCAAACCCTGCTATCAAATCCAGCAGAGGGAGATGAGTGTTTGACCAATCCTTTAGGAGGTTGGCCATTTATGAATTCTTGATCAAGTTATGTGGTCAGTTCCTTCTCTGCCAGCGACCAGCTCAGCTTTGCTAAATGCCCATACATTAATTTTACAATATATATCCTAATCATCTCCAAAAAGCCTGTCACGGCACCATCTGTGCAGCATTCGTCATTGCTGCATTACATAAGAGTCAAGACATTTTTAAAGAATGCAGCTACATTTAGGAATTGGAGCGCAGGAGATATTGGAGACCGTCACTCACAAGGTTTCTGAGCTCTGGGAGATCACTGTGCATTCCTGTGGGGCTAGGTTCCCGGGGTTCTTTGGAAGTGCTCCAGGAGCCAGAGTTGTTGGGAGGGCCCTGCATGGGGGTATGGTCTCCTTGGCTTTCTTTCCCTCTTCCGCCCTCCCCCTTTTTTCCTCCTTCACCCCCATTGCCTGCCACCGCTCTCTTACTTTCCTTCCCTTTCTTTGCTCTTCCCTCTACTGACCTTTGGCTTTCTTCTGTTTTCTTCTCCCATTACTCCCATCCCAATTTCTTCTTCAACCTTGTGCCCATTTCTGTTTTGCCCTTCTCTTCTCCTCCTTCACCCCTTCTTCTCCCTCTCAAGACTTGCTTCTTAGCTCTAGTCCCTCTCTCCATTATCTCCTATCACTCTTTTTCCTGCTCCCTTTAAACAGATGCACAGAATGTCCCAGCTGGGAGGGACTTTTGAATCTAGAAAGGGCTAGAAGGGCCTTCAGAGCATAGAAGTTGGAAGGATCTTAGAATCTAGAATGTCCAAACTGGAAGAGACCCTTGATATCATTGTATCCAGCTACTTCATTTTAAAAAATGAGGGCACTGAGGCCCAAAGAAAGGAAATGACTTTTCTAAGGTTGCAAAGCTAGCAAGTGGCTGGCCTGGGACTGGATTCCATGTCTCATAACTTCCAGTTAAATATTCTTATGTTTAATCATCCTTTCTCCTTATCTTCCCTCTGTCCTCTTAATAGCTCTCTTTTCTCCATCCTCTCTCTCATCTTCTGTTCCCTTTCCCCTCTCCTTTTTTTTCCTTTCCCCTGTTCCTCTATGTTCCACTATCTTTTTTTATTTTTATAATTTTCCATTATCATCTCTCTATTTCATTGACTCTCCATCTCTCTCTACTCCCATATTCTGTCTTCCCTCTCTCCCATATTTTCCTTCCTCTAGAAGATGCAGAAGTCCAATAATCCAGGTCTAAGGGCTGTGACAGTGAGACTTACAGTCTCTTCTGGGCCTGAGAATCTGTACTAGCAGAAACTATCTGGGCAGTCATTTTCTTATACCTTCTCCTGCCAATCTCAAAGACATTTTAGAACAGAATTAAATTACTGTCTCTCTCCTGTGCCATTAGCCTTTCCATCTATAGTCTCTCCCTTCAGGATAGAACTTGAGCCTTCTTGGTTGTTGCAGGGATCAAAATGGACAAAGTTCTTTGCCCTCTGACTTAAGTGATACCCATTTGAATAAACATGAGACAGCAGGAGACAGCTGCCTTTAGGCACGGACATTCTCTTTTAGAGGTCCATCCCAGCTCTCAGAGATCTGTATTCTGTGTTCCAAGGCCATTTCTGGGGCTGACATTCTATGTTCTATGTCC